AGCTTTGGTGCTTGATCTTCCTGCGCTGTCCTCAGCAGACTCCTTTCGCCTCAGCTACTTTCCCAACCCTGCGGGCAATGAAGCGTGGCATCTTACAAGCAGGACCTCTCACGTCTTGGGCGAGCATCTGACTTTGCCACGGACACTCCTCATCATCTGGCTCTACGTCTGCCCAGCCTTGGAGCTTGGAACAGCACACAGGGGCACAATAATTGCGGCCTGAGTCGGCGTGTCAGAAGCTCGGCATCATGATAACCCAACCCTTTTGCGAGCGCATAAATGATTGCTGCTTCTTTCGGTAGAACATGAATCTGCAAAAAGCGGTGACACAGCTCTGAGCATGAGTTGGGCCATTTGATGACTAAACGCTCAACCTGTATTCCACCACTGGTAAACGAGATACAGTCGAAGCTTTGGGCAGAACGTGAGCAACCTCACAACAGAAGGCAAGTTGTCTCAGTCTTCAGCGCGTTTTCGGACACAATTGCTGCACCTCTCAGGGCAAGGCAAGTCAAAGAAGCTGATGCCGAGACCTGCCCCTTTGAGCTCCTGTTTTTGGCTCGCCTACCGGATTGGAACTTCTATACAACGGATCGCGGAAGAAATTGTTCCGACGTTCTTCATTTTCTGCTGGCCAATCCAATCCGGCGCTTGTCTGGCATAAAATTGCCATACCCCCAGAAAAGCAAATCAAATGTTTTGCATTTACTCGCTTGGATTTTTTCAAAAACACGCCACTGAAGAAGCATGTCAAAGGCTTCTGGAGGCTACTAGCAGAATGAAAAGTCATCACACAAAACAGGGTCACTGCTTAATTTGTCTGCTGCCTCAAGTCAAGCTTTTCATGGAACATCGAACACTGCTGCTATTCAAAGCACGAAAACACCGGAAGGAACGAGAGAACATGTGTGAACCACATGCCAAGGACAGAGCACCTTGGACCGTGCGGACTCTTTCGACGCATGGGTGGCTCCACCCAAGTTGCCCTTCAAAGTGAGCACCTGCAAAATTTGCGACTAGCACAGGCTCTACGAAAGTCTCCCGTAGTTGACTGAGCTACCGACAGACAACTTGTCCGCAACTTCTTCAAATGCCGATTGAGCGGCCATTGGACAATAGATGCAGACACTGGTTCTCCGCTGTGCTGAAACCGGACAAGGATATGTTGCCTTTCTCTTCGCTAACTGGCCTTTGTTCTATCACACGATATTGGCTGGCGAGAATTTGCTCTGCTGAATCTCTGGACATCTCTGGCACACATGCTTCTTTCCAGTGCATTCCTCAAATTGCTGTCTTCTTTACAGGCTCCTTGCTCGAATGTTGGATCGATCAAGAGGCCATGATGGCATTGCGTAGCAGTTCAGTATGGTGTCAAGGCCGACAGGCGGGGGCCTCGCAGGCTCCAGTCTAGCATTTTTCTGCGATCTGGCTCTGGTCGGGTTAAGACGATTAAGAGATTGGCGGAACGCTCCTCGCGGGATTGCAGCTGCTCTGCAGGCCAACTCATTATATCTTATTATCAGAGGCATTGACCCTTCCTCTCAGCGATTCTGAAGACAGCTGTATGGATGCCTTTGCACCACTAAAA